AGAGAGAGAGAGAGAGAGAGAGAGAGAGAGAGAGAGAGATTGTGTTGTTCTAGGAAACTCAGAGATCTGCCTGCCTCTGATTAAAGGCATGTGCTGCCACCACCAGGCCATGTTGGGTTTTTAACGTGAGTGCTGGGGATGGAACGCAGGGTGATCTCCTAGCTGGCACCAGTCTTTTTAGGGCTGATGGGATGGCTAGTTTTGATGGTAACAAAAGCAGGTGTTCCTTGCAAGCAGTTTCATTGTATTTTTCAGTTTATAAAGAGCTTTAATCTCTCGACCCCAAAAGTCTACCCTTGATTTCCTCAGGAGTCGCAGAAACAGACATGATGTCCTAAAAATGAACACAAAGGCCCAACAACTGAGCACACTGCTAGAAACTGCTGGGCCCTTTGTGTCCCTTTAAAATGGAATCACTTGTTCTCAAGATTCGGGTGCCTGATGTGGACGGGAACGAACAAAGGGGTGCCGAAGGAGAGCTACGGGGTTTCCAGGAGCCCTCCCTCTCCTTGCCCTGCCTCAGTGACGGGTGGGATTACAGATCCAGGCCAGAACGCTAGTTCTATCAGGACCGCCTAACTCCCTTCCATATCCTGGCCCTCTAGGAATACCTCCCCTCAAACTGTGGGTCCTGTCCTATTGATTTAAATGTCTTTATTGTAATCCACTCCAGTAAATCTGAGGAGCATCCTCTCCAGAGGCCAGAGTCTGGCTTTTTTATTTCCATCTGGGAGGCCAAAGGGAGGGAGAAGAGCCTGTACAGTCTCCCGCAGAGGGCCCTTCTGGGGGATGCTGGAGGAGCAGGGTCCTCAGACCTGGGAGGGCAGGTGTAAACCCCAAGCTCCCAGCCCCTGTAGTTTCCCAAGGCCTAGACATGTAATTTTCCTAGGGAGCAGCTGGACCCGGACAGCGCCCCCTGCTGGAATCCAGTGGTCCTGCAGATTGCCAAGAGGCGGCTGGCGCGCCGTTCCGAGGCAGGCGGCGAGTCAGAGGCACAGGCTGAGCTCCTTGCGCACGCGGCAGCGGTGGCACTGCACCACGCAGCACCAGTGGAAGCGGCACAGGCAGTTCTCCTCGAGCTGTACGCTCTCCTGGCGGTGTCCGCGACCGCAGCACAACAGGTCGCAGCCGCTGAGGTCCGGGGCACTGCTGTTGCAGGCGCGGCCGCGCGTGCCGGGCGAGCCGGTGCGCCGGTTGGGGGCGCAGAAGTCGGGCGAGTCGGCGGCGTAGAGGAGGTCGGCTCGGCCGGGAGGCTTGAGCGTGCGGACTGCAGGCAGCAGGGCTTTGCCGTCGTTGGTGCCCATGACGCGCGAGGCGCCGTGGAAGCGTTCCAGCAGCCGTGCGCCCACCTCGCGGAACGGAGGCAGCTTCTGCCAGCAGGTGCGCAGCGCGCACGAACCCGAAAGGCCGTGGCACTTACATTCGGTGCGCGTGTGGCTCCGCACCGCCTGCGGGAGCAGAGGGGCGGGGCGATGGGCGGGGCAGAGGGGGGGCACAACAGAAAGCAAAGGAAGCAGAGAGAGAAGGGAGAGCAAGGAAGAAAAGA